GCTGGTGCACATGTGTGTGCCGGAAACCAGAAGAGCAGCTGGCGATGGCGTGCGTGCCCACAGAGAGGGCTCTGCATGCCACCTCTAGCGCACGTGCCATAGGTTTGCCATCATGGATCTAATCTAACCTGATTCTTTTCCTTGGTAATAAACAAGACTGCCTTAGAATCTGGCCTGTCTTTGCCAGTTGGGAACCACTGACAAGAGCTGAATTAGTGGATTTCATCCAGGATTTGAGGGGACAGTTATAAATAATATTTCTGTAGTCATCAGTAGCCCCCTTTGAGATGTAGGAGCATATAAATTATAAGGCTTATGTTGTTTGAATTTATTATTCTGACAGCTATTTGAGATTAATATTATCGAATATCTCATATAAACATTGAGATTTATATCTGCAAAGAAGACTGGACCATTTTATTGAGCTTGGCTCTATTGTTCTCCAAAGACATTAGTAGGCATAGAATATCTTGGCCGATTCAATTCTAGACCTCACATGTAAAATAGGGATGGTCCAATACCATTGGAAGATAGCTGTCAGTCATCTTGATCATCCTTTATGCTTGGTAGCAAAAGAATCAAAAGTGGGAAGCCTGTTGGTGCTATCTACAATATTGATTGATTACTTCAAGTGACTCACTACTTTAGACCTTTGTTTTTATATAAGCAAAGGATGATGGGGCAGTAATATCATGACTTAGTCCATCATTCCTCTTTTTATGTTTATTTTTTTTTAAACCATACTTACATGTTGGCTTCACTCACATATTGGGCTAAGCCATAATATGATTTGCTTGTTTGAATTACTTCTACTAAGGTCAGTAAACAATAATTTATTGTTTAGCACAATATATGAAACCAGCCAACCAATATATGCACTCATTCATCTGTGTTTTATTAAATAAAGCATGGACCCTTTCCCGTAATTCAGAAACATGGATATTATTCAAGGAAAATGAATAGGTATAAACTATTCTCTGTGCCAGCTAATTCTTATCCCAAAATCAAGATGCTATGTAAACATTAGGTACAAATGTGTGCACAAGCCTGGACAAAGGAGGCTTTTCCCTTCCCCTTCTGGTCAGTTTTTCAGAGTGTTATGCCTGTGATTTTTTCGACCATATGAGAAATGGGATGTGGGATATAGAAGGTTCCTGATTCCAGTAAGAAAAACAGTTAAAAAAGAAACCTTTTTAGCCTAAAAACAGAATTAGCAATCTTTCTCACCCCATTTCTCCTCCTCCTCCTCCTCGGTACCCCAAATGTAGAAAAGGGAAAAAAGAACCTGCATATTACTTTTTGCTTGAACTAGTGGCTGTAAGTTCTTGGACATAGAACATTTTGACATATTATGTCCTTAGACCTCATGAGATAGGAGGCGGGGAGGCATTCATTCTACTCATACACAACCACAATTGAGTCCTGCCCTCCTCCATGCAATGCGATAATAATATTACTTTCTGGTTTAATCCAGAATTAATAGCTATTCTGTCTAGAGATGCTCATGGTCAAGCATTACTCATTGTAAATGAAATAGTTACTGTTTAGGAGACCTAAATTATTTTAATTGGGTGATATGTGGTAAGCAGATCTGTTCTATTGATATACAACTCTAATTCTTAAATATGTCATATATCAGTGCATATGTATAGCAATACTGGAAGAGCAAGAAAGTTTTAATCTGCCCTCCAAAGAGTATTAGTGTTGGGCACAAACATGTTATACAGTACCTCTTGACACATAAAAAGAAACAAAGTCCAGAATCCATAGCAGGTACTGTATGCTGTAAAATATAACTATCATGCAGGATGCGGAACTGTAGGAATCGATATTCCTCTAAGACATTTGTACATATTTAGCTGAATATGTATCAAGCATAAGTGTTGATCATGAGCAGAAAAAAAGGCAGCATAGGGACAAATAATATTACTTTCATTCGCAACAAATAATATTGCTGTCGTAGCAGCAAGCCGGATATGCTGCTTTAGTCCTTGGTGGTGACTGAGACAGCTGTGAATCTTGGTGGAATGAGTGCTTTGTTTTAGAGATTCAAATAATATTCCATCAGGACTATTATCAAATCTCCAGGTCAAAAATGAGATTTCATGGATTGCTAGTTGCTCATGTTACCTATGGTGCCATGCGATACGGTAAGCAAGCATCACTCTAAAGTAAAAAAGCACTTATATTTCTTCTTCATTATGTCCTTTGAATCCTGTTTTTTTTAATGTCCCCAAGAATTCATAGTTCCTTCGTATTTCCTTCTTATAGTATCTTGCTTAAAATTGCTGACTGATTTTTTTTTGCCCAGAACCTGAACATGCGAGACAGCCCCAATTAATCTATTTCCTTAACAGCATAGTACATTATGCATTCACCCCATTCATTTTTCAGAACTAATACAATCTTATTAATTACAGAGGACAAGCTGTGATTTTTGCTGCTATTTCAGACCTGTTGATTGCTACATTTTTCTATTATATTTATAATAAATTAAATTGGTATATTAACTAGGGATGGTGTGATCCCTGTTAATGTTATCTACACAGGTTTATAGTGCAGCCTCATTTTTTACACTATTTAGTGCATTTCTAGCCTGGCTTTTGGGACCAAGCCTTTGCCAGGTAACTTCTATTACAAGTGCATGTTTTTTTTTTAAAAAAAAACCAGATATAATAGATCAAACATGCATACTTGAATAATTCTGGGATTAATAAAATGATTGGCAGGTTTTTATTTTTTTAAAAAACCTTTGTGCTCTCCTTTCTCAG